AAAACTGTAGCATCTGAGTGCCGAAGAACCGTCCTAGATCGATGGAACGGATGAAGTGCTTGCAAATAAAAGATTTTTTTCAAGATCTAGAAACACATAGCCAAGTTCCATGCATTGTTTAGAACCTGCGGCAAAAAAGTGTCTGCAGGTGCAAATCACACAAACGTTATCCGGCCCGGCACTCTAATTCTCCTGTGGAGGTAAGAACAGCTACTAGTACACCAAATTCTGTCTAGCTCAATTCCTGAGCATCAACTCTTAAAGGGAATATCATGCTTCAATTTGCAGCTCAATGTGTACAGACACTCACCACAATAGGTATGTTAAGCGAAGTATCCTGCCATAAAAATTATAGAAGGCAGAAAATAAAAAGTAAAACATTGTGAATTCAACAATAGCCTCAGCTTAACTGGGTTCAATGTAGATGTGGGCTCCTTGGATCAATCCCGTTGACAAGTGGTTGCTGACGGCACTGATCGACAGAACTAGATGAGAAACAGACGAAACGAAGGACCCACATGGTGTGGTGGTGAACGCGTTACTCCCCGGAAAGGACAATATAGCGCGCTCCTTCTCCACTACAGACAGCTGCGGTCCGGAGTTTTGCAAATATCTCAGCAATCTTGTGGTTGTATTTCGCTTAATACCCTGCCATGAAACTTATAGAAGGCAGAAAATAAAAAGTAAAACATTGTGAACTTATCTTTCAACAGTTTCCAAGATCGACTTTCTATTAACCTTGGCACTGGATTATAAATGTGTCGTTCTCTTTTTCAGCAATCGCGAGGTTGTTATTCAGCACACATTTACTTCTTAACAAAAATAATGCATACAACACAACGGTAGCGGACGTTTCGGCAGTATCGTCTTCTTCAGAGCCTGGAAGGGTACACTAATATGTAATTCACTAAGTCAAAAGCTTCAACAGCACAAGCAGAAAGATGAAAACCTGGACGATAAATACACGATCTGCAACTTCTCGAAAAACCCACCGTTTTTCCCTGCTATACACCCAGGAAGAACAGCCGCTTAGAGTCGTAAATGGTTGATGGATGCACCACCTCTCATCAAAAAGCAATTCTCACATACGGAGCTAGATCACGTGATATTTCAGGGCATTCTTTCTTGCTATCCATTCTCGGATTTTCGGCATTTATCCAAAGGGAATCGAAAAGTTTGCGCGTTGGTGTTTCGAATTTTGTGTGAGGATAGCAACTTTTACATCAAAATCGTCCCCGCTATGTTGCTGCTATGCTATGCGCTATGCTTTACAAAACAAAACAAGTTACGCCACTAGGAACGCTGAGGATACAAGAGCGTAGCGGAGACTGTTTCGATGTAAAAGTTGCTGTCTTCAACAGGATTCCAAAACACCAACGCGCAAACTTCTCGAGGCCTTTCAGATAAATGCCAAAAATCCGAAGACGAGTAGCAGGGAAGAATGCCCTGAGATGTCATGCGATCTAGCCACGTACCTCAGAATTCATTTTTGATGTGGAGTGATGCAGTCATCAACCATATGCGATTCTAAGCGGCTGTTCCTCCTGGGTGAAAGGCGGGTAAAAAACGGCGGGTTTTTCGAGAAGTTGCAGGTCGTGTAATTATCGTTCAAGCCTTCATCTTTCTGTTTGTGCTGTTAAAGCGTTTGACCTAGTAAACTACGCATCAGTGTACCCTCCTAGGCTCTGAAGAAGGAGATTCTGCCGAAACGTCAGCTACGGTTGTGTTGTATGTGTGTTATTGTATGGAAGTAAACATATGCTGTTTAACAACATCGCGATTGCTGAGAGAGAAAACGACGAATTCATAATCTAATGCCGAGGTTAATAGAAAGTCGATTCTGAATACTATTTCAACAATGAGTACTGCTAGTACCACCGTGATGTTTCTTATTCTCTTAAGTAAAAGACGTTTTTCAAAATAGTATTTGTTATTCTTTTTCATTCGAAATTAGAAACACCATGAAGAATGCTGACAGCTGCGTAGCACGCAGACCACCACTCATCTTCAGGACTCTGTTATTCCACAGTGACGATGGAGGAAGCCTCTATAGTTCGGCGAATTTTATTTAAACACGCAAACTCTGTGTGTTTTAAAGCTAATTCATTTCCTGAATACAGTTGTTTCGCTGCAAATGAAATTCTGTCCTCAAGCCTTCCTCAAACAGTTTTTAACCATTCCAAAAACGATAGCGCCTCAATTGAGCTCATAACTAGTTTTGGAAGTTTTTATTGTTAACATCGCGATGGTGCAGGACAATCTCAAATATCCTTTTGTCGAGTTCGCCCATTGAGTTAAGCCTAACTCAGACAGAAGTTTCTTACCGAATTTTGAGACGATTTTGAAGTAAAAGTCAATATCCTCGCACAGGAGTCCAAAACACCAGCGCGAAAACTCCTTGAGACTTTTTGGATAAATGCCAAAAACCCTGCAATGAATACCAGGGAGGAATGCCCGGAGGTCATACGCGACCTGATCCCGTATGTTCGCATCGAATTCTGATGTGGGATGGTGCAGTCGTCAACCACATGCGACTATAATCAGCTGTTCTAAACTTCCTCATTGGAAGTCACGAAAAAGCGGTGGGTTTTTTCGAGCTGTTGATCATGTAATTACCAAAAAGTTTTTCGTCTTTTTGTAAGTGTTATTGAAGCGTTTGGCCTAGTAGATTGTACATCAGTATACCCTTCCAGGCTCTGAAGAAGACGATACTGCCGAAACGTCAGCTACCGTTGTGTTGTCTGTGTTATTTTTGTGAGGAAGCAAATGTGTGCAGAATAACAACCTCGCGATTGCTGAAAAGGTGAACGACACATTTATAATAACTCCTGAATTATCCGAATTTCAGAAACCGCTTCTAAGGTTTTCAACCCCATAAAAAGCAAACGATACGGACATGATTTTCCGAAATAATTCGAAAACAATTTTATGATACTTTCCAAACTTCTACAATTATCAACCAGTCTACATAACGGCACTATGTTATCATATACGATAGAGTTTAACTTGTCAGAAACCAACCTCACTTCTCGCATCCCTGAACACTCTTTCTGACAACGAGAGTTGGTGAGCACTCATCGAGACGTTTATGTCGCTTCCATTAGTGAGCTTTGTGATGTACACTCCTAGGGATTCACACGACTTCTCCAAATATCCGATATTAATTGTGATCTGGACCAACTGAAAGCTGACTTCGATCACATAGATGTAAAAACTTAGCGAATGCATATAATAAGTTAAGAGAACACCACTATAAAAATATTAGATAACTTTTGATTGGGTGCAATCAGATTTAGAAGGGAACAAAAAACAAGTATAAAAAATGAAAGAACCAAACAGTTAAGGATTTTTTAAATCAGAAACCTCCCATATCACAATTTGAAAAAAGATACTGCATAAAATACCAAGAAAAAAACGGGAGAATTGAAATAGTGAGAAACAGACATCTTTTCCTCATGAACAAACCTGAACAAGGGAAAGCTTTTTCTCAACAAATGATTTCAAACTGCCTGACCACCGGGAAAGCAAAACATTTGCATACCTAAAGCATTTCGTTAGACATCGCAGCAAAATCCACAAAAATTACACTCTCGAACACGCAAACAGAAGACCAAAGCGAGAACTTAGATGTGAAAAGAAAACTATTGAGAATCCTCACCTTCTAACCGTGTCATCCATCTCTGAGTGAGTTAGCTGGAGGTGTTCCATAAATTTCAAGCAACCTTGTAAATAATGTTTTGCCTTCGAGTACGCAGAGATAACAAATCTTGAGTACGGAAATTTTCGAGGAAAAGGCTCCTACAAGAAAACCTATCGAAATACATTCTGACATAAATTGTACGAAAAGTAAACTGATGAAATGAGGTATAACAAAGGGATAAAGTTCACGGCGTTGATCAATCCTTGAGGAATGCGCTAAGCATTCGACGTGATTAAGCATCTCTGGAGTTGATTGAACGCATATCTGGCCTTTAAAATGACTCACGGAGACCTACCGATGGATTGAGCCAGTGATGCTATCCCCCGAGGAACTGTGGTACTAATTTACAAACCCCGGAGAGATGGAAGATCATGTTGGCCAGGAGCGTTGGAATCGATCCCATGCGTATTGCAGGGCGCTCTTGACTACTGTGCTACACGCGAATTGGGATATAAGGAGAGCAATTAAATCTTGCGTAATCTCAGACTTAACTGGGAAAAGCATAGCAAAATGAAAATTTATTAGTACTACTACCTGTTCTATACTTCTTTTGTAGAACGGAAATTCCTTAATGATCGAACGGAACTCTTTCTCATTTTCAGCAATAACTGGTGCGTAGTTATCCTTTTCAAGGTCACGCTCGAATTGAGAACAATATTCACTCATGAGAATCTCATTGTACTGGTCTCTAGAATGATAAAACTATGCCATTGTTAGATATAAATCTGTTTAAAATGACACAGAGTAAGTCCACAAGTCCGCATCCCAGCAATTACAAAAAACACTATTAACACATAAAACACTCAAATCTTACCTAAAATTTTGCAGTAGTGAGTATAACGGAGCAATGCTATAACCGTATGATTTCATCGTCAATGCGAATAAGAGAATGACCTTCTTCATTCGCAACATCATCTCGACATCCGGACACCCACCCTGCAATCATGCATACATTTGGAGATAGTCAACTGTGTCTGAGAGATGGTGCTGTTAGTTCGGGACCACCATTATCGCAACGTAGATAGTGTTTCTCACTAGAACACTTCCTGGAATAAGATAAACAACTTTGGTGAATTGAAACCGTAAAAATACTTCGTTTGTAAATAAAAGACTCCATTTATTCCCATTTAAGTACATCGACTATATCAAAACATTTGACTTTTGCCATGCTGTTTTCAACAACTACATCCCCAATTGTCCACTGGAAATTTCTCGTCTCCGAAACACGGCGACAACTATACTTTAGTGTTATGATCACAAAGAAGAAGCTCTAAAAATGAAACTCCTTTAGGAAGATGGTGAATAGGAAGCAAATAAATGGATTCTTACTTTGAGAAGCTTACATAAGGTTGAGATGTTGCAAAAAAAATGGGTTGCGCATTAAATTTCAAACAGAATAATCGTCAAAGGTAAGATTAATGGACCAAAGATGTGTGCAAAGACGAAGCCTTCAATAGAAAAATAAAGGATTTTAACATAGTCATGGCCTAATTCAGAAGCAGTTCGTAAATAAAAATGCCCTGTAATAAATTTAAACACGAACTCACAAAGCGACTGTTCATAGTGTGCACAACCGTTTTTAGTGCGCTCTCCCAAAGTTGGTCTTTGTGGGAAGACGTTACAAGAGTCGGTTCAGTGATAATGATGTGATCTTCGACGACAAAAAAGCCGATGATTTCGTCCAGATAGTCAACATAATGCTTCAACGAATTCATCTGGAATCACACACAATCCGAATATAGTGGTGAATGCAACAAATAAACCAAACAAACAAACTTTAGAAGGCGGTTCAATAACAAGATTGCACTGATCCTTTCGTTGTTGGCGGTAATAGACCTCAAATTCCTCTTTGGATCCCAAAACATTGAAGATTTGGCAGCATCTAAACTAGCGTTTTAGGAATATATGGCACAAAACAAGTAGTACTGACCGCTAGCCCAATCTACCTATGGACTGGTGTGAAATCAATCAAATCCTGAGCAGAAACCTTCTCGTCGTCCTAAAACGGCCTCTACATTATTATACTTGTAACAGAAAAACCATAAAAAGGCTTGGCGAAAGCTTTCCCTAGTCTATGCAGCTTTGACCATAACTGCTTTTCTTCTTCAGTTAGATTTTAAATGCTTCAGGTATATAAACAGACCTCAAGACTATCTGAAGTATGAATAGGAGCGACGCCATTTACCGTCATCTTTCTCACTAAACTACCATCAGCTGAGACGGCAACTTCAACATCGATAAGTTTCCTGCCAATAGACACACTTTTCGTTACATTACAAATCATATGTAAAATCCCTAAAGGCAAGTATAAGATATATAGGACCTAATAGTTTAAAATTCAGCTTGTTATATCGCCCTTGAGCTGTCGGTAGACTAATTTCATGACTTTGAGCGGTTCTAGAAGAAACAAATCGCAAGGCAGAAAACTTTAATAAAACCCGACGACTACCTTTTGAGAAGATCTAAGAACGTCCACACTGATATCCTGCAATTCAAAGCATAAACTTTCGCGACCACCATTTAAGATGAAGAAGATAGCGATGTATCGAAAAAGCAACTATACCCACGTGACGCCATGGAGAATTCCTATGGTTATGCACATGCAACGATAGCTGAGTCTGCTCAAACCATTGCCTTCATGTTCTTCTCGATGCTGCAGATTGCGTGTGATCAAATACGATACGAGGATACGATTTCGATAAACCAGGAGTGAGATGTATATCGTCAGATAGACGATAGAACCCTTACTATCTTATGTGAGAAAACTCCACCGCTTAGTATTGGTGGCGGTGGGTTTGTAGTGCAGCCATCTACTATCAAACTTTCTGACTCTTATTAAAGTCTTCGTGCACTCATCCATTAGCAAACTTGCCGACACTGGTTAAATTCTGTCTCGCCGCTTTGCTATTCTACGGCATGCAACTCCTTATTAGAAGTTAGTACCATTAACGTCTAATAAACATTAAGTTAAACAGCCACGACCGACTTTCTGTTAACCTCGGCATTGATCAAGTAATTTTCTTCGTATTTTTGTTGAGCAAACGCGAGGTGTTATTATTCTTTGTTCACGATTAAGCTGACGTTTCGGCGGATTTCGCCTTCCTCAGAGCCTGGAAAGGTCAAGTTGATAGCAATCTACTCGGCCCTCCATAACCAAACAAACAAACTCTAAACCAAGATTTCAATCACTTTGAACACAGCTTTGCAAACTCACTGCTTCCTATGAGGTTTCCACTAAGTATGTCACGTAGAGACCAACCGCGCAGAAATCACATGGAAGTATAATGTGCCCCTCACACCAGAAAAGCAGTTCTACATACTGCCCTATACCACGCGTGATAATGAGGCATTCTTCCCTGCGGTTCATTTTCGGATTTCTGGAATTAATCCAGAGTGCCTCGAGAGTTTTTCGCGCCCGTGTTCTTGATTCGCGTGCGAGGATCGTGACACATACTTCGAAGCCGTCCCCGTTATGTCTCTGGGTCCTATGAGTGCCTAGCGAGGTATTTGGTCTATTTTTGCCGGCTAGGTGTTCTTTCATGCGGACACAGAGGGGTCTACCCGTTTCGCCAATGTATTCGTCACCACACATCTTACAGGAGATCAGATAAACTATACCCGAGCTCATGCAATCACCGTCTCTACCACTGGGGCAAATTATGCAATTTTGAGTTGCACACAGACGGTCATATAGGCGGTTACGAACTAGCTGGCGCTTAAGATTACTCAGTGGTATTTCAACTACGCTCACCGAATTACCAAAAAAATACAATAGACCAAAAATANAAACTCACTGCTTCCTATGAGGTTTCCACTAAGTATGTCACGTAGAGACCAACCGCGCAGAAATCACATGGAAGTATAATGTGCCCCTCACACCAGAAAAGCAGTTCTACATACTGCCCTATACCACGCGTGATAATGAGGCATTCTTCCCTGCGGTTCATTTTCGGATTTCTGGAATTAATCCAGAGTGCCTCGAGAGTTTTTCGCGCCCGTGTTCTTGATTCGCGTGCGAGGATCGTGACACATACTTCGAAGCCGTCCCCGTTATGTCTCTGGGTCCTATGTTTTTTTTTTTAGGTATTTGGTCTATTTTTGCCGGCTAGGTGTTCTTTCATGCGGACACAGAGGGGTCTACCCGTTTCGCC